GGCAGAGAAGCTGTGGCTGCCCCATCCCTGGAAGTGTCCAAGGAGAAGAGAAGGCTCCAGGGAGACCTGAGAGCTCCTTCCAGGGCCTGAAGGGGCTCCAGGAGAGCTGGAGAGGGACTGGGAACAAGGGATGGAGAGACAGGACACAGAGAATGGCTTCCCACTGCCAGAGGGATAGATGGGATATTGGGAAGGAATTCCTGGCTGGGAGGGTGGGGAGGCCCTGGCCCAGGTTGCCCAGAGAAGCTGTGGCTGCCCCATCCCTGGAAGTGTCCAAGGCCAGGTTGGAGCAACCTGGGACAGTGGGAGGTGTCCCTGCCCGTGGAACTGGATGAGCTTTAAGGTCCTTCCCAACCCAAAGCATTCCAGGATTCTGTGACACTCCCCTGGGTCACCTCCCAGAGCAAAGCCAAGCTCTGCTGTGGCCATGGCTTAGGCCAGGGGTTTAGGACAAGCTCAGAGCCTGATTATTAATAAGGTTTTAACAAGGAATAAACGGGAGTGTGAAGGAGAACTCAGTGAAGGAGAACTCGGGGTGGGGTTGGTTTTTTTTTTTGCAGTTCCAGGTAATTTCTGCCTGAAATCCTGATGACCATTTAAACACACTGAGGCACCTCCTGAGTTTCCATCCTTGCTGGAGCATCACTGGAGGGGATTTCTCAGCAGGAGCTCAGCAAACCCCCGGGTTCTTAGGATGGAGCTGTTTCCCTTTGCCCCCCACAGCCCAATGTCATTCCCACCCCACACAAACAGGGTGTGCAGGTGCTGCCCAGGTTACACCTCTGGGAGGAGATGGAGGGCAAACTTTTGCTGCCAGTAAAGCTCCAGGCTCTGCAGGGGCCTCTTGGAGAGCAGCAGAGCCACAGTCACCCATTGGGGCTCTAATTGCTGTCCTGGAAAAGCCTTGGAAGGAAGGGAACAACTTGTTTTTCCCTGTGAGAAGGGGAGGTTCTCCCCTGCTGGAGAGCTGGCCCGGGGTCAGCTTTGATGGTCACTCATGGGACAGCATTTCTGGGTTATTAATACCACAAAAAAAGGGAAAGATCACGGAAAACATGGAATCCCGGAACCCAAAAAATCCCAGAACCCAGGTTTGGGTTGGAAGGACCTTAAAGGTCACCCAGTCCCACACCCCTGCCATGGGCAGGGACACCTCCCACTATCCCAGGTTGCTCCTTTCATCCAAGCTGGGCTCGAACACTTGCAGGGATGAGGCAGCCACAGCTTCTCTTGCCCACCTGAGCCAGGGCCTCGCCACCCTCCCAGGGAGGAGTTTCTTCCCAAATATCCAAGGTAAACCTCTCCTCTGTCAGTTTGATGGGGTCCCTCCTGCTTCCTCCTCCTTCCCCCGGGACAGCGCTGGCCTGGGAGATGGAGAGCACCTCTCCTCACCCAGGGATCAAACCTGCCCCCCTTCCCTGGGGCAGGCTCTGATTCCCTCCCTCTGGAACACCAAGCACACACTTCTGGCAGCAGGAACTTCTCCCTCACCTTTGAAACCCCGGGAGAGTGAAAATCCCACCTGGGACTCGCCAAGGGCACCTCGGGGCAAACTCCTCCCTTCCAAACCTCGGCGAAATCCAAACATTCCTTCTAAATCCCGTTGTAAAACCACCGTCCCCGAGGCACTGACAGCTGAATGCCAGCACTGATACTGCCAGGGAGCAAATCTGCACCCCTGAGCAGGATCAGGACCCCAGGCCAGGGGGAAAAGGAAGGAGGCTGCATTCAGAGCTAATAATTGCCAACTTTGCAGCCCCAGATTAGCAGCCTGATTGCAAACATGAAATAACCACGGGTAAAACACTCCTTAGGTCATTTTTCAACGCTGTGACTGACAGCCACCGAGGACAGCAAGGGATAAATTCTGCCCTGGCTGCTCCAGAGTTAACCTGGTGCAGCTCCAGTGGCTCCCAAGGCCCTGCTCCAGCTCCGGCTCGGGGCAGCCAGCACAGCCTGGCTGGCAGCCTGCACAAACAACCAAAAAAGTCAAGATTTTCAGATGTTAAGAAGCCACATAAACTAGTTCTAGCTAATTACAGGGGCCTGGGTGTGAAACAGCAACTGCAAAGCCTCAGGGACCGAGCCAAGGAGCTTTGATTTCTCTCTACAGCTTAGAAAAACCTCCTTGAAAACTTCTGCTCCGACAGCTTTTCTGCTTTCCTAGAATCCCAGGATGGTTTGGGTGGGAAGGGACTTTAAAGCTCATCCAGTGCCACAGGGACACTCCCACTATCCCAGGTAGCTCCAACCTGGCCTTGGACACTTCCAGGGATGGGACACCCTCCACTTCATCCTCAGCCTTTGTCTCAGAGCCTGAGGCTGAGCTGAGGTTGCACAGCTGAACCAGCAGCTGTTTCCCAGCAGAAAGCTCATTTTGTGTTGGGTTTTGTGGAATATTCAGGGTTGGAGCAGCTGGAATTGTACCTGCCCCACACACAAACTTCAAAACTTCTCCGGGAGGCTCCCCGGAGTTGAAATACTGAACTGAAAAGTGCCAAGTGCCTGTTCCTGAAGTTCAGTTGTTGGGTTGGAATGAGAAACAACAGCTCTGGAGGCTGTGGGATGAATCTGTGCCTACTCACCATTAAAATGCAGAGTGGAATCGAAGCTGCCTCTGTAAAAAAAAAAAAATCCCTCGAAGGGGAGATATTTGTGTGATGTTTATATGATCCCAGGTGAAATTCAGGAGAGCTCAGCCCTCCTTGGAAGGCAAGACCAGCCTGCTCTGCTCCCTCTCTCTCCTGACGTGCCAACACGCCCAGACTGTGAATTTATCCAGCCACATCCACTTTTCCTGCTCCTTCAGCCACAAGTGATGAAATCCCATTCATTTGTGCAAGCAACTGGAAGATTTATTGTAAATAAAGTTCTGCACATTACACAACTGGCTAAAAATCATAATTAGAGCTGCACTGGGGAACATGTTTTATTTATTCTGACAGTAGTCTGGCTCCAATAATCCTTCCGTGATGAATGTCCCGAAAGTTTGCGGAGTTTCAGCAACTCCAGACCTTATCAGAGACATGGAAGTTGGGAATGCCTGACAGGGTTTGATGTGGCTTCTCGAGGTCCCTCACAGTCGTGTTCCACAGCAGCGTTTTTAAATCAGCTCCAGGGGCCTGGGAGCTGCTGTGGGAGCGTCTTCGCTCCCTGGGAACCAAAGGCAGGGAAGTTTTTCCACTGCTGTTACAACTTCCAGGGGCTGCAGCACGAGAGCTGGGCCATGTCTGGGTGAATTATCCAGGTTCTGGGATAGGGAGAAGTGACAGTGGGATTGGGAGCCGACAGACCCTCTGGAAAAGGGTCAGTGACACCATTAATAGGATGCAGACATTCCCAATCTCGAGCTGCTCTGCACCCTGCCAAGAGTTTTCCAGGGCTTCCTTTCTAGTTTTAAGCACAGTTTCAGGCCCATAAAACATCAGAGAAGACAGGAGTTATTATCCCAGCCCTGACAGGAGTCCCGGGGGGGACACAGCTCTGCCTGCTCCCCACCTGCTCGAGGGCATTTCCAAATGCACCGAATCAGCTTCACCCCCAGAACGTTTATTGCTGCTCTGAGACCCATAAATGACTCCGAGTGCAGTCAAACATTTATCTGGCTTTGCTCATTCCTGAGGAAAAGAGGAGCCCAGTCCACTTGCTCTCCGAGTGGGGCATCCTGGGAAGTGTTTTCTCCCATCACATGGGAAGACCCTCCTCGAGCAGTCAAATTGTTGGATCAGCAAAAGCATCAAACCCATTTATTGTCAGAGGAACAGAGAGGGGTTTTGCCCAGAGCCACAGCTCCAGCCTTCCCAGGGGTCAACCCGAATTTACTACCCCAAATATTTACCATCTGCAAATATTTTAGCCCCTGCTAAATTTAGAGCAGCAGGAATATTTCTGGCTGACTCGGTGAAAAACAATTATTTACGCTGCTATAAAAAGAACGTCCCAGCAACAAAGAGCTGCGGTGCCCCAAGATCCAGAGATCCCCAGATCCTGTTCCCAGCTCCTGCTCTGCAGTGCCAGGGAGCAGGGATGTGAATCCCAGGCATGTGTGTATTAAATCCAGTTCCAGAAGGGCTTTGTGTGTCCTCCCATTGCAAAGCCACGGGAATGGACACTCAGCTTACATTTATTTTTGCAAGGTTAACCTTAAAAGTGAGAGAAAATGCGCTTTTCCGTATTTTTTTCAAGGATTCTTCTCTTCCCCCCTTTGCCCCCAACACACACACACGTACCTGAGAAGCCTGGAGTGAGGAATAAAGCTCAGTTCCCTCGGGAAGAGATGCCAGGGATGGTTCCATCAGGCAGTTCTCCAGCTGGGATGAGCTGCAGCTCACGGGAAGCACATCCTGAAAAACCCAGGGATGAGAGAACACCCAAAGCACCAGCTGCTGCCTCAGGAATCCTCTTGGTGGGAACATTCAGATAAAACAGGGGAGAGTATTTAAGTGCTGTAGAATCACAGAATGCTGGAATGGTGAAGGACAGAAGGGACCTTAAAGTTCATCCGGTTCCATCTCAGGGACACTTCCCACTATCTCAGGTTGCTCCAAGCCCTGCCCAACCCGGCCTTGGACACTGCCAGGGATGGGGCAGCCAGAGCTTCTCTGGGCAACCTGTGCCAGGGCCTCCCAGGGAAGGATTTTGTCCTAAAATCCAACCCAACCCCTCTCTCTTTCAGGGCGAAGCCGTTGCAGGAAGGCGACGACGACAGAACGACGCTCCCGTAAGAGGATTAAGTTTGTTCTGCAAATAGGAAAGCAAGGAACACTTGCATTTGTTACCAAGCTGAGAAAGCCACCGTTTTCATGAACATATGGAAGCATTAAAAAGAAAACCCCATCATTTTGTAACTTTGAAGCTTGACTCGAGCTCCATTTCACCCTCTCAGGGCCTGCTTGTCTCTGCCAAGCCCGTTCTTCGTGTTTCCGGCCAGACCAAAGGAACAAAGGACTGGAATTAACTGCCTGAGAGCCCAAATGCCCACTGACTTCAGCAACAACAAGGACTTTTCATCAGTTTATTATTGGCAAACCAGCAAACAGACGGGAACAGATGAAGTGATGCATCATTTGACCCGAAATTTGGAGTGCAGAGTTTCCCCCCGAGCTCACGTGCCCTCCCCGCGTCCTACCCAGGGCTGCCTCGGCTCCATCATTCCAGAAAAATCTCTTCCAGGGACTCCAAGGTGTGGAGCTCATGCTTCACACAGACCTCTCAATGATTCATCAGCAGAGCAGACATTACACGTTGCCACTGAAAGGTTACGGCCCGGGATTTATTTCCCAGCAGAACGCAACGGCCTCGCTGAAAGGGAGCCTGCCTGCATCCAACTCAAACATGACAGAGACACAAAACAAAGCCCTTGAAACAGAACTCCTGACAAAAGGAGAACCTTTCAATTCATTAATCAAATTAAAGAGGAAAGATGGCTTGGAGGAAAGGGAAGTTCAGGAAGTAACAGTCCTTCGCAAAGATGACGGGAGTCGTCTTAAAAATTAATCTCTCGAATTTAAAACCCCCCCCGCGACAACAAACCCCTGTTCTGCTCAGAATTCCAACATTTTATCGTGCCAGGTGTCTTATTTCCATGGCAAGGAAGAAAACCTTCAGGCTGATGACTGAGTAGCACCCACCTCCTTCGCTGCAGGAAGAGTTTGGCTGAGGGTGTGTTGGTGAGAGCAGAAAGGTGAAGGTCCTGACCCACGGACTGCAGGAGCTCTTGGCCCCGTGGGTCAGCCCAGATGGACGATTGCAGAGCTCTTATTGCCAGGGAAGCCAAGTTTTTTGGCAGGTATAAAACCAGATAATCATGCCTGTTTATACATAATCAAGCTTTCAGACATGGCTTTAGTGCTGCAAACTCTGCAGGCCCCGAGGGAGGGAGAATTTCTGGACCAGAGCGTCTGGAGGGGGCAAGGAGGGGGTGAGATCCAAGCAACGGAGACCAGAGGTGTGCAGGGCTGAGTATTCCCTTTTTCCAGGGAGGAAAAAAAGGGAAAGTCACCTTTGAAAAACGGGAATATGCTTTCACAGTCCAAGCACCCGAGCTCTTGTAGCTCCCACCGTCCCTTTTATTGCTTCTGGAGGTCAGCGTGTTACACAGGTTTTGGCTGTTTGGTTTTTTTTTTTGTCCGCTAAAAAAACCCACAACGAACACAACGATTTTCCCGTTTGTTCGTTCGTTTGTTTTTTTGGGAGCTGTTAATAAAAAAAAAACAAAAAACAAAAAACCAAAAAAGCAAGAAACACCTGATCTGTCTGAAACAGACCCCAGCGCTGAGTGAACTCCTGAGCCGCCACCGTTTGCAGCGCGGAACGGCGATAAAAATAGAAAAATTTGGCAAAATGCTCCCCCCCTCGATGGAAAAAAACCCGGAGAGGGGAGAGAAGAGCCTGCACCCCCCTCCCAGTGAAAAAAAAACCCGGAGAGGAGAGGGAAGAGCCTTTCCCAGCTGTGACATCTGCTCGGCGTGACCAGCTGGCGAGTGCCGCTGCCGGGCCGCGCTCGCCACGACCCCACGGGAGGAGGGACTCCACGGAGCGGGGCACCTGAGCTGGTTTTCTCCTCCCCTCTCCCCCAAAAACACACCATTTGCAGGCAGCAAAGGGCACCACGAGGGGAGCCCGGGGCCGGCGGTCACCTCTGGCTCGGCGCCTGCGGCAGGATGACGGGAGCGCAGGCGATCCCGGCGAAGGACTCCGGGAAGTGCAAGTCCCTCTCCCACTCGTCGGTCTCGGTGTTGTAGACCTGCACGATGCTGGTGACGTTGTTCAGGTGCCAGTTGTAACCCCCCACGATGTAGATCTTCTTCTCCAGCAGGCAGCAGCCGGCCTCCGACTGCCCGGCGCGCATGGGGCTCACCGTGGTCCACTGGTCGGTCTCGGGCACGTAATACTCCACGGCCAGCACGTCGAAGCAGCGGTCCACGTGGTCCATGCGCCCGCCCAGGGCGTAAACGCGGCCGTTGGCGCTGACCATGGCGTGCAGCACCCTGGGCTCGTTCATGGGCGTCTTGAACTCCCACTGGTCGGCGGCGGGGTCGTAGCAGTGCAGGGCCTTCTTGTCCTCCACGGAGATCCCGTAACCCCCCGAGATGTACAGCCTGTCCCCCGCCGTGGCCCCGGCGTGGCCCCACGTCCTGCGCTTCAGGGAGCACACGTAGGTCCACTCGTTGTCCTTGGGGCAGTACTTCTCCACGGAGGCCAAGCTCCCCGAGCGGTTCCTGCCGCCCGTGGCGTACACCATGCCGCGCAGGACGTTCAGCTGGAACTGGATCCTGCTCTCCTGCATGGCCTGGATGCGCAGCCACCGGTTGAGGTGCGGGTCGTAGCGGTAGGAGACATCCACAGCCCCCTCCCCGCTGCGGTACTGCAGCTGCTGCCCGCCCACCAGGTAGACGAAGTTGTCCAGCACGGCCACGCAGGAGTGGCTGCTGCCCACCTCCATCTCCGTGAGCTCCTTGAACTGGCGGCCGCCCGCGTCGGGCAGGCAGTAGACCTTGGCGCTGACGGTGCGGTCGTTGTCCGTGTAGGGCGTCCCGCCGAAGGTGACGAGGGACAGCACGTCGGAGCGGATGGCCGTGCGCGGGGACTGCATCTCGTGCTGCCGGAAGGGCAGGATCTGGTAGTTGAAGGCCTCCAGCAGGTACTGGCGGCACAGGACGTCCTCCACCATGATGTCCAGGGTCTGCACGCTGTCCACCAGCTCCGAGGACTTCATGAGCGGGAAGCGGATGTGGCACAGGACGCGGCTGGCGCTGGCGCGGCGCGCGGGGTCGTGCTGCAGCCAGCGCACGGCGGCGCGGAACAGGTCGATCTCGCTGCAGCTCTTCAGCTTGTTGCTCTGCAGGAAGAACACCAGGCGCTCCAGGGGCAGGTGGAGGAAGTCCTCCTCCTCGGAGATCTGCAGGAAGTGCCTGAAAGTGAAGGCGTCCACGGATTCCTTCAGGGAGGAGAGGCTGAAGGTGGTGGCCATCTGCCCGATGTTGAGGCACGTCTCCACGCTCATGGCAGACTTCAGGAACTCCTCGCAGAGCTCCACGACGGGCACCATCTGGAGGAAGACGGCGGCTCCCAGCACGTCCTGGATGCAGTCGAGATCGAGAGTCACTTCGGCGCTGTAGGCGAAGTCGATGATGTGCTTCAGGCCCTTTGCAGACACACCTTTCAGCTCGATCACGTCCTGGCTGGCCTCTCTCATCCCGCCCGTGAACATTGCCCTGGAGGTCCAAGAACACAAAGGAAAAAAAAAAACCCTCTTAAATAAATGATGTATCGCTTCGGGATTTTATTTTATTTAACACACTGATTCTTTTAGGGAGGATGAGGAAGGGGAGGGGGGGATAAATCAAGGCTAAACCTCTACAAGCCAGGAGAAATTAGCAGTGCAAGGCTTGCAGTGCACCAAGGAGGAATATTCAGCTATCAGAGAAGTTTTTCAATCCCTCTGGCAGGAGGAGGAGGAGCAGAGCACAGGACAAAGCTGCAAGAAGAGGGAGAGTTCCCAGAGCAGGACATGAGTGAGTATCATGAATCCATGACATTCAACAACAGAGGATCCCACGGGATCTGCACCAGCAGAGACTGGGAGTGCATCCTAAAGGGTTTAGGTCTGCAGGGTGTGTGAGCACAAGGAAGACCCCTGGTCAGGAGGGCAGTGACCCCTGGCAGCAAAGCCTTGAGGCCCAGACCCGTTATCCTGTTATATTGCAGGGAATTAGGGAATGGGTTAAATATTGCAGGTGCAACACGTCTTACAAACAGCTTTGGCCACCCAACAGAGCCTCCCCTCCAAGGTTCCTTCCCCACACCTTAAAAAGGAGGAGCTGCAGCCCCTCCAGCAGCTCTGTCACGCTGCGGGACGACGGCAGGGGGCTGACAGGGAATCACACAAAAACAGGGAGAGAAGAGCTTTGGTTACAGCACAGCTGCAGGAACACCACTGGACCAGGCCACTGCAGAGATTAGGCCCTGGATCACCTCCTTGGGAGGCTTCTAAATTCCACAGGAAGCACATTCCACGCCAAGGACTGCGCCCACGCCTCCCTGAACCGCCCTGGCAGAGCCGCAGCTCCCGGGGCCGGGGGGCTGGGGGTGTGATGGGGGTGTAGCTGCACATCGAGGGGGGGGTTTCAGCCATTTCCATCCCGTTTCAGCAGGTTCTGTTAGGTATGGGGGGGCTCAGGGGCAAAGGTTTGCACCCTGGAATATCCAACAAGGGGGTTCTGGGGAAGGCAGAGTCAGGGCAGGAGGAGCTGGGCCATGGGGTGACCCCGGTCCCTGCTGCTGCACAGCAAGGCCACGTCCTACAAAAGACCTTAAAACTGCACATTTTGGACCGGTTTTTCCACCTTTTCCGCTGGAAAGGTAAATCCGTGGTGTCATCAGAGCCGCCTCGGGAGCTGCACCGGCTCCAAGGTGCAAGTCAGGCAGAAAAAATGCTGAACAGACCCTGCATCAACACAGGAATAAAGGAATATCTCGGGAACGCTGTCAAAAGACAGGAGTTCCAAGTTTCCCGTCCAAACCAGGCTGGAAAACCTGTCCAGCACAAACCCGAGAAATCCTAAATGACCTCAATGAGGAAATATCTGCACACGAAATCAGCTTTTCTGTAACCGAGTGACCGGGAATCCTGTTCCCAATTATTTGCCTGTGCAGCAGGATGAGAGCATTCCCTTCAAATCCCTCCGTCTCCCACGTCCCGGCCCCGATCCCTCGCCCCGGAGGACACACGGACACACGTGCGTGAGCTGAACGTGCACGAGGAGAGGAGAGAGTTGTTGTTGTTGTTGTTGCCACGCTGAAGACAAAACCATCCACTAGAATGCAACACCCTTCAAAAGTTATGGTTCTAAAATGCTGATTATATAAATGGCTCGGTTTCACTCCGCTTTCCCTCCCCCTTCCTGCAGGAAAACGGGAGTGTTTTCAAAGGCTGGATTATTCTGCCCGTCGTTCCCCAGGACAACCTTCCTCGGCACCGCAGAAGTTACAACAAGGAACCTGCTCAGCAGTCATAGTTTAGAGTGAAAACACCTTGGCAGCGGCCCTGCACCCAGCAGGGAGGAATAAAACAGTGCCAGTGGCATCTGGGAGGGGGGAGAGCAGCTCCAGGATTAATTGTGGTCCTCGTTTGGGGAGAGAGAAAAGCTCGGGAGGTTTATGTTCCCAAAGGGAACTGCCCAGAAAATGGGTGTGAACACAAGACAGACGCCATCAGAGGAGCTAAGGAGATGGACAAAGGGATACCAGAGAAGTGTCAAGGGACAGGGAAGTCCCTTGCTCTTGTTTACCTGCTCAGCAAACCAGTCTGGAAGGTTCCTACAGGTCAAGGGGTTGGAAGGGACCTGCGTGTCACGGGGCTGCAAACCCCGTTGGACAGCCCTTGTCCACCCCTCCTGCTGCCTGGAACAACACCCAGCTCGAGCCCTCTGGGGTTCTGAGCCTTCCCCCAGTGCCTCCAGCACGTCCCTCACTTCACCCTGCTCCTGGTGCTGCCCAAAAGGATCCCCAATTCCAAGTCATCCTGAGCCACAGAGACATTACAAAAGAGCCTGACAGAGAGAGGCATGTGAGGAGGGGCTGAGGGAGCTGGGGGGGCTCAGCCTGGAGAAAAGGAGGCTCAGGGGGGACCTTCTGGCTCTGCAGCTCCCTGACAGGAGGGGGGAGCTGGGGGGGTTCGGGCTCTACTCCCAGGGAACAAGGGACAGGACAAAGGGAAACGGCCTCCAGCTGTGCCAGGGGAGGGTCAGGCTGGATATCAGGAGGGATTTCTCCATGGAAAAGGTGCTCAGGCACTGGAAGGGGCTGCCCAGGGAGGTGGTGGAGTCCCCATCCCTGGAAGTGTTCAAGGAACCCCTGGATGTGGCACTCAGTGCTCCGGGCTGGGGGACAAGGTGGGGGTCGGGCACAGGGGGGACTCTGTGATCTTGGAGGTCTTTTCCAACCTCAGTGATTCCATGATTCTGTGACAGAGGCAAGATGGATAAATATGTATTTTCACTTAGGAGTGAATTCCCTGCTCTGCAGTTGGCTCACTCTGCATGAATTTGGCTGCAAAAACTCATCTCAGGGCTTCAGTTTTCAACCCACACGAGCTGGGACGACGCTCCCGGATCTCCTGGGGAGGTCACACCCACTCCTTGGTGCTCCCAGAGCCCCAAGCACTGCAGACACATCAGTGGTGGTTAAAGAGAACAGGAGTGTGTTTACAGTGGGCATCTCACTCCAAGAGCTGAGTAATTTTGGAGCCCTCACTTCCCAGTCAGCTCAAGTAGCTCCAGGACAAAACACCTCCGACATCTGCCCAGGTGGGTTCAAGACCTGGCCTTGAACTTGTGCCTTGGCCCAGCAGCTGTAGTTGAGCAAACCTCATCTGTGTGCAGAGGGACTGATCCTGAACCTCTACCTGCCTGCAGGGAATCCCTGGGGCAAACCAAACCTGGTTCTGTGGGGCGGGATTTTTGGGAAGGTCGGGGTGGGGGAGGACGGGGAAACAGCAAACCAACGGGAAACGTACAAATGCCTGCTTCCCTATCAGATTCTCACCTGAAATAGTCACTGCAGGCAGCCAAGACAACTTTATGAACCTGAAACACTTCATTATTTATAGTGAGGATGACATCAAGCAGCTGAGCCTGAGCTCGGAGCGAGGCCAGTCCCTGCAGCAGAGTGGTGCTGTGGCCAGGAGCAGAGAACGTGCATTTCAGGGTGCTGTTCTTGTCAGCCATGCTAAAAACAGAACAAGAGAGACAGGCTGGTGTGAAATGAAAACAGTATGTGGCATTACCTACCCAGTGCTGGGGGAGGCACCGCAGCGGGAGCCGGTCGGGACGCGAATTCCCAGCCCGGCAGCCACACGTGGGACAGCGGGACAGCAGCACCTCACACTGGGCCCCCTTCTCCCAGCACTAAAGAGACTTGCAGATTTTTGAGGGATGCTCTGGCACTGCTGACACCCCGACCCTGCAGCACACACGGGGCTCCAGGGGCCACCCAGCCATCCCCTGGGGCCGGAACCACCACGGGACGTCGGTGTCCCCACGCTGAGCCCGCCCTGACCTCGCCTTCACCCACGACACTGAGTCACAGTTGCTTGTTCTTCTCACCACCTTCCCCTCCTGCAGCTGCTGGAGCTGCTGCCGCGGCCAAGGCCGGCCCTGCCAGCCCGGTTTGATCCTTCCCTTCTGCCTGAGCCTCAGGAGAAGAGCAAAAGCAAACTATTGCACAGCCCTGGCTGCTGCAAATAACATCAACTGCTCGAGCTGCACTGTCAACAGTCCCCTCCCAGCGTAAATATTTCCTCGCTTTTCCCAACGCCTCTCGCACGTGTTCCCCAGCACACGGAGCATCACCCCGAGCTCCGCTTGGCCTCAGATGCACTTGTCGGTGGGAACGCCGCGTTCGGAGGCAGCAGGAGCCCTGCACAAGTGGAAGAGGCCGTTGGATGCTCTGTGCTCCTCTGGAAACAGCTCCAGAAACAGCTGCAGGTTCCCCGAGCCCACCAAACCGACGCCAGCAGAGGTGGGGGAATCCCAAACTCATCCACAAATTTAATCCAGCTCCGAAGGGCTTTTCAGGGTCTTCCCTCCCGGGAAGAAAATACACCCAGGGGCCAATGTTCAGGATGGGGTTTATGTTTTCAGAAGCATCCTGCTGTTTGGTGTCTGCCTTCCAAGGGGTACTTTATGGAAACGTGACATAAAAAAATCCCAGGGAGATTATCCCGAGTCTGGAAAGCTGCATGAGTTGCTCCCAAACCCACGGTGGGAGAGCACACTCAGGGCTGCACTTAAAGGGTATTATTGTTATTATTATTATTATTTAGGTGGAATAAACCAATGAAGCAAAGAAGTGAGTAGGATGCAGCGTGCTGGGGCTGTGGAATTCCAGGGTCTGCTCCAACCCTCCCTCAGAGCTCGGCTGCATAATCCCGGTTTTGCTCCAACCCCCCCCTCAGATCTTGGCTAAATAATCCCAGGGTCTGCTCCAACCCTCCCTCAGAGTTTGGATGTGCAATCCCGGGGTCTGCTCCAACCCTCCCTCAGAGTTTGGATGTGCAATCCCGGGGTCTGCTCCAACCCTCAGAGCTCCCGACCAAAACAGCAACAGCCACTGCACAATGGCCCAAACAAACCCGGCGGGGTCAGGGAGGAGTCAGGGAGATGGGATAACAAAAAAGGGGGATGTAAACAATCCTCAAACAATGAGGAACAATGGACAGGGCTCGCTCCTTGCCTAACTTATCGGACTGCAATTTCCTGGAAGCTTTAAGGAGAGGCGAGCGAGGGGAAATCTGGGATGTTCATCAGAGCCGGGAGGGCAGCGCTCTGCGCCTGCAGCGGCTCTGGAGCTCGCTGGGATGCAGAGAGCAAACCTTGGCAGGCTGGTTCCAACTCCTCAGGCTTGGGAATGTGCCTCAGAATCCATCCGAGTTCCTGCTGGGATGGCTGATAATGGTCAGCTGCGCTTCTGGTAGCACAGGTCCGAAATCCCTCCCCTAAAATCAAAGTGTGCTAAAGAGTCCTGGATCAGAGCGTGGAGTATTCCTTGCTGGAATAAAAAGGATTAGCAAAAAAGCAGTTGTTGACAAGACCTTTATCCATACTCTGTGAGCCAAGAATTGTCTGTCCACTCGGGCTCTTCCCATGGAGGAAGAGGGAAGAGCTTGGAGGGAGCGGATCCGCATCGTGTCAAACTCCTCTCACTCTCCTGCCTGGAACTTTGATCCTCTGCAGGTGAAAGGAGGAAACATCCACCACCAGCAAGGAAATGATGTTCCCTCTGGACACAGAGCACCAGACACGGAGCAAACCCGCTCTGCTCCAGGTTGGGCAGGTGAGATCCACCCAGACAGATCCGGGGATTCATCCGGGAATGGCAGGTCCCGAGTCCACTGGAACTTCATCAGACTCCACCTCCTGCAAAAGTCCTCTCCTGGGAATTCCCTTCAGTGCTTGTTTTTATGCTGGCTTCAGATATTCCTTTTCCCAGCCTTAGGGTTTCATCCCTCCAGGAATGCTGTCACTGGATCCACAGCCCTCCCAGCATGGGTACAAACCACAAGCTTTACCTGCACAAATATTCCCCTTTATCCTCTTCCTCAATTAACTTTTACAGGCATTGTGAACGACCAGAGTGCAAGTTTGAAGTAAAGGAGGGGTGGGTTGGTACATCTGCGTGGAATAAACGTGTTTGCATGTGAGATTCATTTCAATAGGTAACTGTGAACAGCTACTCCAGGAAAAACTCCCTGTACAAGTTCCTTTGTCTATTTACAGATACAGAATAAAAGGATCCGATGATTACACAACACTCTGAAGGGGGGGAAAAAGGAAACCAAAAGAGAAGCATTGATAATGCTCAGTTTTCTTCAGCCTGGATTAAAAAAAATAGAAAAAAAAAAAGAGATTTTAAGATGAACAACACAAGCTGGAAACAAAACAAAAACCCCACGAAGCACGAGAGAAACAGAGTGAGGGATTTACAGAAAACAAAGAGGGAGGAGGAGAGGTGAGAGAACAGCAAGGAGCAGTGTTTGCACTGCGGGGAGAAAAAAGGGATTTGTGATAAGAGCAGGCTCGGCTGGACACGGGCAGGGCAGGGCAGGAGCGTGTGGATCCCCAGCCTTGGCTCCCACTGCTGCACGGAGGGAGAAGGGGAGCAGCAGTTGGATGTCAGAGAGTGAAAAAAAAAACCCAACAAAAACCAAAAGGAAGCCTTGAACGTGCCTCTGTGAGGCTGCCCCTGTCCCAGCCCGGACCTCACCAGGCCCCTGGACTTGTTGCTTCACAGCTTGTTAGAGCAGGAACAGCCCTGCAGACAAAACTTGGGAAGAGTTGCATCTCCTCCTCCCCTCGGAGATAAAAGCCTTTCATCACACACCAGCGAGAAAAGTGTTTATTCCGCTTCCCTTTCCCAGGGAGGCAGGGCTGGAGAGCCTCTGGAATTTTCCTTGGTCGGGCGTCTTTGTCCTCGAGTGGAGGTCCTTCCCCTGCCACGGGGGTTTTTCTGTGGCCAGAGCATCCTTCAGCAGGGCCTCAGCACAGCCAGCTTGGAGCGGGGTCAAGCGTGTGCTGCTCCCAAATTCATCCGTTGGAAAAATGTAAACCACCAAAAAAAAAATAAAAATAAAAAAAAAAAATAAAAATCACACCCACATCAAGGTCCCAGGGGCCTCCCGGAGATCCCAACGTGTTTACATGACTGGGGCCTCTGACACGAGTATGTTGGTATAAAGGTGGCTCTGCAGGAACAGAAATCCCACTTTCCACGTGGAAGTAGCTGCAGCAGTGAAAGGGATCTTTATATCCGTGTAACTGCAGCCATGGCACACAAGGCAGCTGGAATTCAACAGGTATATTGATTCCCAAGGTGATGCCTTTTGGGCAGCAGCCTCAGAGGCTCTGGTAACATCCCTGGTACCCCAGTTCCACACAGGGACTGCCAGGGAACAAGTAATGGGATTGAGGATTTGCCTCCAAGCCGCTGCTCTGAAGCCAGATTGCTTTCAATCCTCTCCGGTCACTGCAGGATAGAGCTCAGCATGGGGTGCTGGGGGGAAAAGCAACCCAGAACCCCAACCCCAGCACTGGAGATGTTCCAGCAAGGGTTAAGGGAGTGGTTGCAGCCAGACAGCAGGCAGGGAAGGCAAACAAGCCCTGAAATCCTCCTGCTGCTGCACCCAGGGCAGGAGCTCGCCCCGCGCTCGCCCTCGCCCCGAGCACGCTGACCACAGGCAGCTCTCTGGGCAAGGACTGCTCCACTTCTGACCAGGAAGGCTTCTGGGCACCCAAGAGGCCTCTGGAGCTGAGGGGCTGGGAGATTTGAAGGGCCACACTTCAGGACCCAGCCCAGGCCCAGAGAACACCCCAAGGAACCTCCTGCGTTCCCCGCGGCGTCACGTGGGACCCGGGATGCGCTCGGAGCTAATGAATCATTTTTTTTACCAAATCTGCGCCGATGATTAAAAACATCAAAGCTGGAATTAAAGGCTTTAACCAGGCACGAGTTCATATTTCAGCAGCGTTTGCAACCGCTGCACACAAAAGTGGAGAGAATTAGAGCAGGACAGATTGTAACATTTCAGCGATTGAATTAAGGAGGGGGGAAAAAAAAAATCTCTCCGGCTGCTCGACTGTCTGGTCGTGTCCTTCCCCTTCTTGTGGTTCTCCTTGCAAGGAGGGGTAGTTTGGTGCTCTCCAGTCCCAGTTCAACATCCCCATGTCTTCCCCCCTTTTTGGGGGCAGGTGGTGCTCGGTCATTTTTCATCCAGGCCAAACTGGAGGGGGGTTGGCAGCATTCCCGAGCAGGGCAAACTTCCAAGAGCCCGAACTCTTCCCATAAACACGAGTTCCAGAGGTGGGACCCCGACGGGGAACGGCCGGGGGACAACACAGGAAGGAGGAAAACCAGCAGAATATTTGTGTGTGTGTTCACATCCAGCAGGGTATGGAATGGCACAGCTTTTCCATGGCTGAACAAAAAGCTTTGGGATTATTGCAAAATAGCCACCGAGGCACCTGCAAGGAATTTTTTTTTTGGTGGTGAGAGAAGCAGAACCACCACAAAGCTGGAGAGCAACTTTATTTAGAACGTGAAGTATGAATATTAAGGACCCTCTCTAAGAACCTTTGACAGGCAGCATTATAGATATTTTAATAATGCAAATCATTTAATGCCTTTAGTTTCATGCCTAAGTAAAAAAAAAAAAACGCATTTAGATTCTGATTTTTAAACTACAATTAAGACACTTAAAATCAAAACAAAAGTCAAACTCCCTCAGATAAGTCACTGGTAGCCATGGTGACTGTAATATTTCAGAGCCTGAGGCTTTATATCACATGCCCAAAGGATGAAAATGAGTTTTCAGCACTTCACACTAACAAATGTGACGTTAGGGCAGAGAGGCTGATCCCTTCACTGCAGATTTGAGACTCTTAGTGGGACTTTTGGACGCTCCCATGGCCTTTGCACCCCCCCACCCCTAAAAAGAGGCATCCAGAGGTTTCCTGGAAGTTTAGGGGCAAGGAAGACAAGGTGCTGCCAGGCCCTGAGGCACAAAAATACCTGCCCTGTTAACCTACTTCTGCTCCCAGCAGCAAGACTGTCACCAGCACCCATCAGCCACAGCATTTCCCAGCACTTCCCTGTCCAAATTAGCAACCACAGTAAGCACTTAATGATCAGCAACTAATTAAATATTAACACACCCGACGAAGGGGGATGTTTCCCAGAGAAACAGAATCATCCTGGGGAAAGATGCACGAGAAAAAAAAGGCATTTAATCGATTTCTTTGTTCCCTTTTCCACCTCCTTCCCTTAATTTCTCCTGTTTCTCTCCTCTGCCTCCACTCATTTTCCACTCCTGACACCACCTCTTTCATCCAAGCAATAAATACAAGTAGAAAAGCCCGAGACTAATATTGCTGTTTAAAAGTGGCAATTTGGAGCGCTCAAATAAAGGGATTATAAATGGGCCTGAGCTTCAGAAGGAGCAACACTCTGTGTGGAAATAATGGTCTTCTGGAAAACGCCTCGAGTCGAAGAATAATAATAAAAGTTTGAAAAGTCTCCAGTCTCTGAATTTTAAGGAAACTTCACGTTTTGCGAGGGGGGAACGAGTAACGTTCTCTATTTAGAAAAGGAAAATGGCAAAGCCCAACAGACTGAGCTTTTTGTAGTTTGCATTTCAGGGCCTGAAAACAGCACTTCGAGATGTCAGGAGGTACCTGGTTCTTTTGAAAGTGCTTTCTGACTCTGATTCCCTCCCAAGCTGGAGCCAAGGAAACCCTGCAGCCCAAAGGGAAAGGCAGCGAGTTGTAGCAAGAGGCTTTTCAATTTATTTATTTTTCAAATGTTATTTTTTTTTTTTAACACCCTTAGAAGCCCCAGACATTTTCAAATCTAGGTTTTTCCTTTCCTTTCAGAGCTGGACTCGCACAGGGCCCAGCAGACACACACACACACACACACACACACACACACATGAATATATTCTGCTCCCAGGCATCAATCAGTAGGTTGTTTGCAAGCCAAAGGAGGTGGGATTTTTGGGTTTTGCACTAATAAAACTGGATGGCTGTCAAAAAGCTGGCTGGCCTGGTAAAGCAGAGCTGTTGGAGCAACAAAAAAAAAGAAAAAAAGCTGAGGGTGAAAGATGTGAACACATTAAACTCCGTGCCACCTCCCGGAGCTTCAACGTGAGGGACTGGGCAGGACGTGCTGTACCCAGGACAGATTGTGCAGGAGGGGGGCAAAAACCAGCATTAAAAAAAACAGAATAAGATTTTTAAACTGCTTCTGTGGCAGAGACAGAGTCTGTGGTCATCTTTATGCTGGGGAAAAGCAGTTTGGGGCTGGTCGTTCGCCACCCAAAAAGAACTCTCAGGTGAGGGCACCAGCAGCACCAGGGGCTTGGAGGGGCACAAAACATCACATTCAACAGGGTTTGCCATTTCTCTTCTCTCCACCCATCTCCAGAGCTACCACAGAGGACCCTGTCCTGCACAGGGATTCTCCTCAGTCCTGCCCTAAACCTCCTGTGAGCTCCGAGTGAGCGTGGAGCAGGCGCCGGTGACACCCCTGTCACTGCCAACACCCTGCCCTGCCACACCCTCAGCCTGCCCTCCTCACAGCGACCGAGGATGGCAGGATACTCCCCACCCCCCAAACTTGACCGTGATTATACTCCTGTCAGCCCCAAAGCCTAATCCCTGTGAGCCAGGAACGAACGGAGCAAATATCCAAATCCCCCGAAGCACATGGATGCCTCTGGCAGGCACGGGCAGTGTCACAGCAGAGTGACAGCAGAATCAGCTGCTGCTCCCCAGCTCAGCCAGGCACGCAGGGACCCCCAGAAGGACGGGGGGGGTTTACACCACCTAAATGTGCCTGTTTGTCCCTGCCCACCCCTAAGCAGAGGCTCCTTACGCACTCGATACTCCCCTGGCAGCGCTGCCTTCCACAGCTCCACGTTTGCCCACCTGACAGTCAAACCCTGCCAGGCCCCAGCTCAGCGAAAAGCAAAATGTGCCTCAAAAGCGACCCGAAGACCAGAGTCACCCTTTGGTGACCCAAAGAGCAGAGTCACCCTTTGGTGACCCAGCGCCGGGGTTGTGGGAGCAGCCCGAGGGCTCGGCGGGCGCTCCCTGCGCCATCCCCGCGCCTCTCCCGGCACCGCAAAGGCCGGGAGGCACCTAGTGGTGTTGGGAAGCACAGCAGAGCCACCAAGGCCACCCCAAAAGTGTCACCCGGGCCACGCACAGGCACTGCTGGCCTCCTGGATACCGCCCTGCTCTTCCCTCCACCCCTCCAGCACGGCTCCACCTTTGGGAGCAAAGCAAAGCTGATCGTGGGCGCGTCCATCCAAAAATCCAGCGGGGCCTGTCTTGGCTCCTGTGTCACCTTCCCACCGGGGACGGCCCCGTTTGAGCTCTGCCAGCAGCTCCAGCCGGGCACAAAGTTCCCCACACCGAGAAAACCACCACCCCCCCCGACCTTCTCCCGCACAACCGCCCCAGGCCCTTCGCTCCACACCTTTGGAAGAGCTCGGGAAAACCTCAGGCTCGGACTAGGAGGTCCTGGGAGCAGCGTCTGCCTCTGCCTGTCTCTGTGGCACCCAATTGCTCGGTCTGGGCAGTGTTGCAATAAAACAGGAGTTGTTACTCGCAGAGTAGGTGCTCCGGCGAGCAGCGATGCGCGGACACCTCCCCTCTCCCTGCACCTCCACCCTCCGGATTATTGCCTGGGAGCAGCCAGGGAAGTCGGGCAAGAGCAACATGAAGTGATGAAACGGCAGAGGACAGCGGCAAACCCACCACCCCTCCCATGCCAAGGAAGGAAATGGTGTTTTCCAGCAGCTGGGAGCCGAGCGCCCCGGCCCTTGGCGTGGCAACACCAGTTCCAGCTCAGGAATCCTCCCAGGATCAAATCTGTCCACAGCCTGCTCCTCTGAATCCTCTGCACTCACCTTCTGACAGGTTTACACCCATCCTGACATCATTATGTTCCCCAGATCCCGGGGCAGCTCCTTTCTGCACAGGCTTTGTGCCGCCCTCCCCTGAGCAGAGTCACCCCAAGGCCACCAGAAGAGCAGCAACAGCTTTAATTAAATGTCCCCCCATTCCTCTGCAACTTCAGCATTTACCTGCCACGTAAACCAGAAACTGGGAAAGCCACTTTAACCACCACCCCTTACGAAGCTACACAACACTTGGGGGTAGGGCAGGAACCTTTAAAGCATCACCTGAGTTCACTTTCGCTCTAAAATAAAACCTCCAGCTCAGGACTCTCCCAGCGTTGCAAAAGCAAAAGCAGCGAGTTATTTTTGCAGCGATTCAATCAGAGCGTAAACATTTACACCACGTCTACCAGATCCAACGACTAAATCTGTTTGAGACTTGCCATGTGGCAGAGTATGGATCATGGAAACCCCACAAAGCTCAACTTCAGCTCCAGAAGGGGGAAAAAAATACCGAGTCTGATTGAAGGCTGAAGCTTGTAGGAGATGACAGGAACACGAGAGCAAGGCAGACTCCCAGCCCTTACACTCCCCCCCATGTGGTTTTACTCCATCCTCCTGCACATTTCTCTCCTTCCCACCGCTTTCTCAGAAGGAA